CAGGATCTTGAGATTAAGTATATGCAGAATTTATATCAAATGAGTTTCAACAGGATCATCACTGCAATGATTTTTTTTTAATCTATGTCTATTTCTGGCATGCTTAGCAAAGAGAAGTTAAGAAACATAGCCCTGCCTATGTGATGGTGAAACCTTTAGTATAATTATTAAAAACAGATTTCAGAGAATTCTTGTATAAGTGGCTACAAAGTTTGATTGACCATCCACTAAGTTCCCTGTAGCTTGGTAATTCAGTAATACAGTAATGGTAATACAGAACATAAAAAATGGCCTGAAATTTGTTTTTAATGGTTCCAAATTGCATTAAGACTTTGGGGACATCCTGTGTAGTAGCTGGTTCTGGAGGACCCAAAGAATAACGCAAAAATTAAGAAGACATAGGGCAATAAGATGCCTGAAGAAATAGGCCAAAATACAGAATAAGAAATGTTTAAATCAAATATCCAGAAATAACAAAAATAATTGATCATATAGCATTATAAGTTTTGAAAAAGCATTTTATGTATGTACGTACATACTCTCATTTGAATTTCACAATCTTCTAAGTTAGGTTCTATAGATATTACTATGCCCATTGACGCTGAGAAGGTAAAGAACATGACCAGAGTCACACAATTAACTAGTAAGATTTGAAGAAAGTATTTGAATCCAGCTTTACCTGACTTAAATCCAGCATTCTTTTCACTATACTATGCTTCCTTTAAATAGTTAGAAAACAAAATAACAGGACAAGACATTCATTTGATTCTGAATAAATATCTTCAAGGGAGTGTTAAAGGATACAATTTAAAATTTATACCAAATTATAGAAGCAAAAGTGTTCTCTATCTGTTACCTATTGCCCTGGAAATTTTTGTCATTATACTGCAATTATTCATTGTTTAAATTACAAAATTGAAGAATATCTTATAAAGCCACTTGCTCACCTCTTTCAGTGAAATTTGAATAGAAAATGAAGCACATGTAACATGTCAGCAGTATATAAGAAAAATAGCTGATGGTCTGTATAATAGTAGTTCTCAATGGAAGTTCCCTAGTGAAAAAGGAAAGCTAAGAATTCACAGGAAACAAAGATTTGATTCTTTATTTATTTATTCTTTAATGAGCCAATAAGACTTGTCACTGATAACATTGAAGATTGAGCAAAGTGTCTCCCTTATAGCTGGCATTGCTCATTTCAAAGAACCTTGTGTTAATATACTCCAGAATCACACTAGAAAGCTTAAATTACATGCTGTTAAATTTTTGAGAGCTCAATAGTATAGTCCAAACATAAATATTAAGCTTCAGATTCTACATTGTGCCCACTATATTCATTATAGAAACCAAGAACAGGGTCTACATCCTAAAGGAAATGGGTGATGAAGAAGGAATACAAGAGAACAATTCAAGCCAACATACAATCCAAAGTCTTATAGGCTGTTGTACAGACAATAAATAAAATTAAAAAATCAAAGCCAAGAAGTATCTCTACCAGCTTTGCTAGCCAAGTAATGGTTCATGGAGTAAGTATCATTTGAAATAGGCCTTGAAAGGAGAGTAGCATTCAGATTGGTGGAGAGAAGGTAATGAATAGGGCAAGATGGAGAAAGGTACCATAAAGGGACTGCTGGGTGTGTAGGCAGAAGCCCTGCATTCATATCTTGGCTCTCCCAATTACTATGTATGTGACCAGGGGTAAGTCATTCCATGTTTTTCAGCATTATTTTCCTCACTTGTACAATAAGTGAGTTTGACTATACCTAATACACTTCACTGTATGCACATAGCATATATACATCTACATCCCAGTCCCTTTTTCCAAACTTCTCCTAAATATCCTCTGAACTATGTATGATCTCCTAAGAACCTGTTAGGTTTATGCCCTGAAATTTTTGAATCTGTGTCCTCAATAGCACTAAGTATTCATCTGAATATTTCATCTGAGTATTTGCAACAAAATGCTGATGTCTTTTGTTACTTAGATTCCCATGAATTTATTTCGTTTTATTTTAGGAACATTAGAGAATACAAGTTAATGTCAATCCTAAGAAGACTACAAATATGATCAGCTGGGCGATTTGTTGCAATGTTTAACCTCTAATACGTTTTTCTTTAAACCAGAAATTCAGGTGTAAAATCTAGTATTTGCAGACATCATAACTAATTTGGAGGCTACCTTTCTCAACCCACAAGGCTTCAGATTCATAAAAGAAAATGAGCTACAATGACACATCTAGTAGTTCCATTAGGAGCACATGCAATTTCTTCCCAGAGCTATTCTGTATTAAAGAAAACTCTGCCCATGAAGCAGTTTGAAAGTTCAAATGAACAGCATGAAAAAAGGAGCTTAAAAATAAATCTGTCATTGATGTTTATTTCAGGTAAATTTCATTGTCCCTTATTTCCAGAGATGAGTTTATATTGTGAATTTGAGCAGCTGGGTTGAATAAAATGAATTCTATTTTCTGAAGCAAGTGAAAATCACTTCTACCAAATATCCCACAAAGTGTTAGTGTATTTGGAGACAGTAATAAGTGCAAATGGAATATGAAAAAAGAAGCAAATTATATGAGGCTTCTGATTTTTAGCTTCTCTACTGGGCTCTTCTATTAAAGAGAAATTACTTATTCGTCACATAGTGCTAGAATTGCCACACTTAATCTAATCAGTGTCTAATAAAAATGTGATCCTGTGCTGTTACAAAATCTTTCTTCCCTCCACTCCCTGCCCCACCCCCAAACTTTATAGCATTCATTCATCTACTGAAATTTTTCTGCTTAGGAGTCTTTTTCCTCAATAAAGCTTACTGTGACCAATGATTTATGCATTCTTAAAGACAATTTATGAATGTCTCCTTTAGTTTCACCTTTAGAAAGGTTCCATTTAAAGTAATTCAGCCATAATTACTGCAGGGCTTTATGAGAATCTGGACCACAGATATCTATAAGGAAATTTTGTATGGGTTTTTTTAAACTGCTTCAAAACCCCTGACTTGAATTTGTGGGGGTATTTCAGTTTGGGTTTTGGGGGTTTTTTTGCAGTTATCAAAATGAGTATGTTAAATAATATTTTATTTTACTAAGTTACATGTAAAAACAGTTTTTAACATTCAGGTATTTTTTTAAGTTTTAAGTTCCAAATTCTATCCCTTCCTCTCTTATCTTCTCCCTTCCTGAGATGGTAAGCAATTTGATACAGGTTATACATGTGCAATCATATAAAACATTTCCATATTAGTCATTTTGTGCAAAGGAAGGAAGGAAGGAAGGAAGGAAGGAAGGAAGGAAGGAAGGAAGGAAGGAAGGAAGGAAGGAAGGAAGCTTCAATCTGTATTCAGCTGACATCATTTCTTTCTCTAGATAGCACTTTTCATCATAAATCCTTTAGGATTGTTCTGGATCGCTGTCTTGCTGAGAATAGCCAAGTCTATTACTAATTAACTAATTAATTACTGCTTAATTATTAACAAATCTATTACTTATAGCACAGTTGTTCATTGTCCAATATTGCTGTTACCGTGTTTGTTACCTGGTTCTGCTTACTTCACTTTGTATCAATTCTTGTAAGTCTTTCCAGATTTTTCTAAAATCACCTGGCTCATCATTTCTTATAGCACCATAGTATTCCATTACAATCATATACCACAACTTGTTCATCTGTTCCCCAATTGATGGGCATCTCCTTCATTTCCAATTCTTTGTCACCACAAAAAGTGCTATTATAAATGTTTCTTGTACAAATAGGTCCATTTCCTTTTTTTAAAATCCTTTTTGGATACGGAGACCTAGAAGTGTATTGCTGGGCCAAAAGGTTTTATATCTTTGGGCATAGTTCTCTATTTCTTTCCAGAAGTATTGGATCAGTTCATAACTTGTGGTGGTGTCATTTCTAAAAGAAAAGAAAATCACCCCAGATTTGATCCACATATTTATTTAGTGAATGATTCGAATCAATTTTCCTTTTCTTAGTCATGCTTAATAATTTGGTTAAAATGATTTTTTTAAAAACTGGAGAGATTTTTTCCCTATCATACTAAAGGTATTTAGGTGGCACAGCAGACAGAATACAGGACTTGGAGTTAGAAACACCAAAGAGCAAATCCTGCCTTACATTCTTCATGGCTGTGTGACCCTGGACAAGTCACTTAGTTTCTTCATTGGTAAAAAGGAGGTAATAATAGTATCTACTTCACAGGGTTGTTGTGAGGATTAAATGAGTTAGCATAAGGTCAAATGCTTTATAAATCTTAAAGTTCTGTATAAAAGCTAGCTATCAGGGCAGCTAGGTAGTACAGTGGATAGAACACCAACTGTAGAGTCAAAAGGACCTGAGTTCAAGGGTGAGCTCAGGCACTTACTAACTAGTTGTGTGACCCTGGGCAAGTCATTTATCTCTGATTGACTCCTAAAATTTTTTAAAATAAAATAAAAGCTAGCTATCATTATTATTAAAACAAATTTGAAAATGATATTCCCTTAAAAATTACAAATAATCTATCAAGAACAGCTGAGTAGCTGTAATAAAACTTCATATATGAGGAGCAGCACTGGCAATGCAGAGAGCACTAGACTTCAACTTCGGACATTTGAGTTTTAATCTATACTCCACCACTCAATAGCAGCTATACTAGCAATAATAATAACAACAAAAACAACATTTGGATAGTGCCTACTACAAACCAGGCATCAAGCATTTCACAAATATTCTCATTTAATCCTCATAATAACCTTGGGAAGTAGGTGCTATTATTATCCCCATTTCATAGCTGAGGAAACTGAGGCCAGTCATTTAGCCTCTCAGAGCCTTAGTTTTCCCATCTAGAAAGTGGGGACAATGATACCTATAAGAACTTTCCCCACAAGGTTGTTGTAAGAATTGATTGTGAGATCATGAACGTAAAAGGTTTTGCACCATTTAAAACTCTCTAAAAATGTCATCTATTATCATCAGCCTTATCATCATCATCATCCTAATCTATTCATTTGTTCTCTTTGCAGGCAGGCCAGTAATGATTGTGGTTGAATACATGGAGAATGGATCCCTGGACTCCTTTCTACGGGTGAGGTGTCATTTTCAGATGATATTTAAAGAAACTATTCTGAGTCAGGGATTTAAATCATTTATCATAAATTAATTTTTATATGATATTATTCATGGAATTTTTAGTGAAGAATAGCAGCATTTTCCCTAGAGTGAATTTCTTAGGTACAGAGATACATTAGAGCATAGCTAGAGGGGATGAGGAGGGTGAAAGATTTGAACTTGATAATGTAATTGATTTCTCCTATAAGTACAGTTACCATATTTAGTAATATATGTTTCAAAAACTGGTATTATGAAGGGAGAGATAAATTTAAACCCCACTTCTATTCATCATACACACTACTTACTTGGCTTAATCACTTTTAAAGCACTTTTCTATCAGATTTTGCTTGGGGAAATATAGCACTAGCCTGATAATTGATGTATAATTGATTATGGCTTGTCATAACTTGAATTAGAAATGGGTCATTCTAACCTTTGCCCCTCCACCCCCACAAGGTCATTGTATGATTAGCAAGAAAGAGAAGCAGGGAGAACTGGGAATAACTAAGCAAAGAGTCATTTTGGGGAAACAGAATAAATGTAAGGAATACACTTAAAAGCTTACTTTTCAAATATCTAAAAGTGTCTTTACTTACACTTGAAAGTCGAGCTGATCAAGAAATGTATTGATTTGTTTAGTGCTATAAAACAAAAGATCTAACACAATACCAGGAATCTATATTTTGAAGCATCATCATCCTTTGCATTAATGTAATTTGTAATGTAAAATGTGTTAATCATTTATTAGGGGGAAAAATCTATTATGGTAAATGCCCCAGAAAAGTCAAAAGTGTGTGTTGGATGGGGGAAGAGGAAGAATTGATTTGTTTTTGCCTTTTGTGGCTGAGCACATTCTATGGCAAAAATAACAGGAACTATTTAATTTCATAACATTCTTCAATCATTCTATAGTAAAAATTCTTAACCATTTGTGTGTCTTGGATACAATATATTTGCTTATAAATGTTTTTAAAATAATACTTACTTGACTTACAGATCCCAGTGGGTGAGTAGAGAGTTAGGCAACCTATACTGATACATCTTATCACTGTTTATTTTAAGCTTATGGAAAGAATGCTGGATTTGGACATCAGAAGAACTGAACTTTTCCCAGCTCTTTCATTCATTGCCTGTTACCTTAAACAAGCTACTTCACTTCTCTAGGCCTCAGTTTCTTCTTCTATAAAAAATAAAAGAGTGAGACTAAATGACTTCTAAGGTCCCTTCCCATCATACATATATTATTCTATGAACTGTTATTTCCATTTCTATTTCTCTATCTTTCCTATGTAGAGTTCTTGTCACCAACTACCTGTGTGACCTCAGTCAAGTCACTTGACCGATCTGGGAACCAATGTCCTCATCTGTAAAATGAGGGGATTGGATTAAGATGATTTCTACAATCCTTTCTGGATCTAATTCTATAATTTTATGACATTTTGAAATGAAAATAATTATATACATATATATGCATGAGTGTGTGTGTATAAAATTAGGGCTCCCTTTTTTTGATTGGAATCCTACTTCACAATCACAGTCACTTATGTCCCAGAAACTAAACTTTCTCTAAATTTACTCAACACCCTTGCCTAGCAGGAAAAAGCAAAACTTATATAGAGGGCAAATAAATTCCTAGAATCTATATGTTAAAGGTGGTAGAGCCTCCAGAGAGATTTTTTTGACAAGGTTAATTCCTTTTAACAAGATTAACAATGTGAAGTCCTTTGTTTGGGCTTAACACTGTTTCTTGCTAAAGTGTTAACTCGTACTTCCCTTAATTTTTTAATATTTGACACTACATTGATTGAATCATGTTTAGTTATGTACCTGAAGTTGGACTTGACCATTTACCTGAGTGTTAGAAAGCAAAAAAATGGAAAGAGAGGCAGACAATGATGAATGGGATGGCTAACATGAGGCTTTCTTATACAGACAGAGGCTTTCCTCTTGAAGAAAAATGACAGGCTTCTGGCATATACATGGAAACATGTGCATTAGAGAGCCTGTATGGCCTCAGAAAATTATGGTATATGGCTGTAGATAATGTAATATATGAATAATGTCACTGTTCAGTGGAATAAATTCTGAACCAAGTGGAATTATTCTTGGTCCAAACAGAGTACTGAAGTACAGCAAGGAATGAACCACAATGGAGAGGAGAAAACTTGAACCTCACAAATTACTAGTATCGATAGTTATATGTATTGTTCAGGTGAGGAGTGGAGAGTAAAAGATCAGTTCTCAGAAAGAGAGTCTCAACTTTGGGGTACTACTAAAAGTCTAAATAAAACCATAAGGAATGTGGGGCCCATGAATTTATAGACTGAGATTAGGAAAAAGCTCTGAGACTTTCTGGTCTAACATACTCATTTTATAGATAAGGAACCTAAGGAATAGAAATGGATGTTGCTAAGGTAGTAAGTGGCAGGGACACAAGGTAGCTTGACTCTTAAGCAATGTTGAGTGATTTCCCCTTTCAAGAGAGTCTTAGCCTAGAGACGTCTAGGTGGTATAGAGCAGTGGTGTCAAACTCAAGTAGAAATGGAAACCACTAAACTATATATAAGGATCCCTGCAGGCTGCATAGTGATATAGAAAGCCACATATTAATATTAGCTATATTTTATTAAGCATTTTATTTTGTTAACTATTTCCCAATTACATTTTAATCTGGTTCCTGCTTGTACTTGGGATTGTTGTAGGCAGGGTACAGCCAACAAGCTACATATTTGACAACTCTGATAGTACTAGATTTGAAATCAGGAAAACTTGAGTTCAAGCCTTTATTCAGATATTGACCAATTCTGTGAGATGTTGGGAATGTCACCTAACCAATCTCTTTTTTTTTTTTACATTTGTAAAGTTTTTTAAAATTGAGGATCAGTGAAGGCCACAACTGTTGCTCTGTGGGTATCCCAGGGAATGCAGGGAAAAAATGAAGTTTTCTGTGCATTCTGTTGGGTGCAGTGATTCCCAAGCAAAGGCAGTATATCTGTCTTTCCCCCCAGGTATCTTATGATCCATAACTGGGCTTGATAGCCCCTTGGAGCAGGGGATCAATTTACCAGAAGGTGAGCTTGTGATGATCTGTTAATTCTGATCCAGTCCAGGCTGATTTTCTAATAAGATGATTGCTCTGGGTCTCGATCTCACCATTCTATTAGTGTGTTTGAGAATAACCTGGGAGTCATGCAGAAGCCTGAGCACTTGATAATGATTGTTTTCAGCCATAGGAAATCCTGAAGACTGTTTGCTTCATGCAGGGGCTGGAATCTGTGTGTGTGTGTGTGTGTGGAGGGAATGGCCACATTGAAGAAATCAGGGATCCTTGAACTATCAGTAAATTGATTCCATGTTACTGTGATTCAGGGAAGCCAAAAACATTGCAGAGAACAAGACGGATAACCATCTTGTCCTGCTTGCCGTGCAGGCCCAGTATCTCCTCTTCCTCCAGGTTTTCCACACCTCCCTGGGGGTCCTCTTCATGTTCCATTTGAGTCCTGTATTTGAAAGTCAAATTTTCTATTCAGCTCTGGTCTTTTCATCAAGAATGCTTGAAAGTCCTCTATTTCACTGAATGACCATTTTTTCCCCTGAAGGATTATACTCAGGTTTGCTGGGTAGGTGATTCTTGGTTGTAATCCTATCTCCTTTGCACTCCGGAATATTATATTCCATGCCCTGTGGTCCTTTAATGTAGAAGCTGCTAAATCTTGTATTATCCTGATTGTATTTCCACAGTACTTGAATTGTTTCTTTCTGGCAGTTTGTAATATTTTCTCCTTGACCTGGGAACTCTGGAATTTGGCTATAATATTCCTAGAGTTTTCCTTTGGGGATCTCTTTCAGAAGGAGATCTGTGGATTCTTTCAATTTCTATTTTGCTCTCTAGTTCTAATATATCAAGGCAATTTTCCTTGATAATTTCTTGAAAGATGATGTCTAGACACTTTTTTTGATCATGGCTTTCAGATAGATCAATAATTTTAAAATTATCTCTCCTGGATCTATTTTCCAGGTCAGTTGTTTTTCCAACGAGATATTTCATATTGTTTTCTAATTTTTCATTCTTTTGTATTTGTTCTACTGTGTTGTGATTTCTCATAACGTCACTATCTTCCAATTGCTCTATTCTAATTTTTAAGGAAGTATTTTCTTCAGTAAGCTTTTGGACTTCTTTTCCATTTGGCCAATTTTGCGTTTGAGGGCATTCTTCTCCTCATTGGCTTTTTGGACCTCTTTTGCCATTTGGGTTAGGCTATTTTTTAAGGTGTTATTTTCTTCAGTATTTTTGTGGGGGTCTCCTTTAGCAAGCTGTTGACTTGTTTTTCATGATTTTCTTGCACCACTCTCATTTCTCTTCCCAGTTTTTCCTCTACTTCCCTTACTTGCTTTTCAGAATCCCTTTTGAGCTCTTCCAAGGCCTGGGACTGATTCATATTTTTCTTGGAGGCTTTGGATGTAGGAGCTTTGACTTTGTTGTTTTCTTCTGGTTGTATATTTTGATCTTCTTTTTCGCTAAAGTAAGATAATATAGCCTGACTCTTTTTGCACTGCTTGCTTATGATCCTGGCCAATTACTTGAGTTTTAAACTCTTTTTTAAGGTACAAATCTGCTTCCAATGTGGAGAATGTACTGTCCCAAGCTTTGGGGGTTTGTATAGCTGTTTTCAGAGATACTTGTAGGGACCTGTAAATTTTCAGTTCTTGCAAGGTGATATGATAGGGGTGAGGTGTTTACTCCTTTCCTGACCTGTGACCACAAGTACTCTTTTCTGTCCTGTAACTGTGACAAGGGGTTCCTCTTCCCAGCCACTACAAGCTCCACCAAGCCAGTGCTCCTCCTCACCCCAGCACCGCTGCCCAGAACTGTGACCCAGATCCAAAAGTGGGCAAAGCAAGAGATTCCTGCCTCACCACTGCCAAAGAGATCCCTGCAATTCCTCTCTGATCAGCCACTGGATTCCCCCTCAG